GCAGGCGCTGCCTCAAATGAATCGGATCAGATCTCGCCGTAATTGGATTGGGTCTTCCCGATCGCTACGGTTTCGAGATTTCTAGAAGAGGATAAAACTGATGGGATCGCAGCAGTAAATACTCTTTTCCTCTCCTATCTTTTGAATTTCTTGGTTCTTAATTTTGCTTTCCTTCGTGATTGAAGGTGGACTGAGGGGTTGACCGGCGACTGCAGGTATTGGACCGACACGTGGAGGTTAGAGGAGGACGAGGAGAGAGAAACGTGCTGCACGTCGGACAAGCGGGAAGCGAAGGAAAAGGAGGTGGGAAAGCGGATGTCTTCCTCCGTGAAATCTTGAAAGGATTGATTTATATTTCAACGAAGAAATAACCAGCTGTTAAGTTACTTTGGGTCTCAGATAGTTGGAGAGAAGTTGTGGTCGTTGATATTATAGTTGAGGGGTCGGCAGCACTCGCCCGTATCTCCTCCCTCTCGTTTGAGATCACGTCACCACCTGCCGTGTTTACCGGTTCCGGTCTTTTTCCCCTTTCTTTCATATTTTTTATCTTCGTTATTTTATTTCATTTTACTAGTAGTGAATACCGTTCAAAGCACGGCATTTCTTTTTTTTCTGCCACAATAATCCTAATTTTTAAATATTATAATAATATTTTTAAAATTTTTGGATTGCTACAGTTCTCATCTCTGCTATAGTTTTTAGAAATGCTACAATATCCCCATGTACTACAGTGTTTTTCAAAAAATTGCTACGCCATTCAGCTCGTTATTTGCTACAGTCATAACACTACAATAATGCTACTGTAGCATTACTGTAACATGAATAGTGAATCTTGGGTTCTCGCATTTATATAGAGGAGTAGATCTACTTTTTGGTGCTTAGGTAAAACATCAAACTTTGGAGTTTGGACAGGAGAATTAACAATAGATAAAGATATATTTAGTTTTTAGCGAGAGAAAATAGCTCTTAGTGTTTGCTAGTAAGAGAAATATGGGTGCTAAACTATATCTGTATCCAGAAAATATTTGTAACCATATCTATTAGGATATGGATATAATTACTCAAATCTATAACCGATAAGATATGGTTATGACAGTATAGAAAATAGCGCGTTCTGTAGCGCAATATAGCGCATAGCGTAACGTAGCACTATCCTACCGCTACATAGCGCTGGAAAATAGCGCACAGTCAATATAACGCATGCTATTTTAGCCATAGCGTACGCTATGTAACGCGTCGTCATGGCGCTGCGTAGCTTAAGTTAAATTGTTCAATGGGTGGGATTGCTTTTTAAAGAATTCGATGGCTGTGATTGAGTTTGATAATCACATTTTTATTACATTTTATACCCTCATTATCTATTTAATCATACTCCCTTTAAAAGCACGAGTTCGGGAAAATATTTCGGTAGACAAAAATACCATTGGAATTCAAATGTTATTCCATTAAGTAAGAGTAAGTTGATAAATTAATGAATTCTTATTGAATATACATAGTATGAAGATAATGATACAGTTTAAATTGAAATGTAAATCTAAATAAAATTATTAAATGTCAAATTTACAAATGTCTACAAAATGAAGGGCGTATATGCAAAAACCAAATAAATTAATGAGACAAATAATGTCTACCCTAAATGTCGAACCCGAGAACAACGTAGACCTGCAAATATACATAATGTGGATAGGATATTTACAAAATCCACCAAAAAAATTAAAGAGACAAAAGTTATTCTCAAAATTATAAAAAAAATTAAGAAAAATAAAAATCATATCATATCATACTCCATTTAAAAGCACGAGTTCGTGAAAAGCTTTCTATAGTCAAAATTACTATGTACTATTTTAAATATTTAATTTAAATTATAATCTATCCTAATCATACTTATATCCTATCCTAATACCCCTTGAAATATCTATAGCTCAACAATTTAAATAAGATTAATAAAATATATGAAATAGCTCCGTAGTATCAGTTTATTACATGAAGTATTACAAAAAAAAGCAAAAAGTTTTAAAAATTAGACAAAATACTCTCAAAATTTAAAATTACACAAAATAAAAAGCCAAAAATTTAGAACTTGTCAAAGAAAAGAGTAATTGTGTGATATTCTTTCATTAAGATATATAAATATAATTTATAATTTAAGATTTACTATCACTTTCAAGAATCTGAAAATAGTCAAGTTGATACTGGTAAAAAAATAGTAATAATAACAGATTAAAAATATCCAGTTAAAGAATAAAAATTTAAAAAAATATATGATAGATTAAAAATTAATATTATTGTATAAATTAAAGTACCTGCATATAATTTTACCAATATATTAGAGCAGCAAAAATACATAAGTATCATTAATTAATAGAAGACTAAATCGCAAAAAACTAATAAAAGACTATAATATAATAGCTTAACATCAATTGATTATAATTTATAAATATTGATCTCTAATGGTAATAATATTAATAGGGTAAAAAATTATAAAGATTTATGTATGGAGAACTATTAGAAAATTTAGAGATATCATTCAAAAGAATCAAGTGGTTTTCATTTCAAATATAATTTGGAACATCCATGAATCACTTCAATTAACACTAACATAAGTTATACTTATCAAAGAAACACCGACTGAATACCCCCTGAAGAATATATTGAACAACTTTGTTCCAATCAAAAAACATTCTTCATGAAAAATAAAAGAAAAATTACTATGTCATGACTTTGTGTAAGCAAAAAATATAAAATCGTCATTTTTCTTTTTCTTATATAGTATCACGACCCTGCGTGTGACTTTATTTAGGGGTATGACTACTAACGAAGGATCAATTCTTAAAGACACGATCAAAAATAATTATGAAATAACACTATTAGAATTTAAGATCTCTAAATATGAAGGTAGTATATTTTATTACTAAAATTCTTATTAAATGCCACTAAATATAAATTTCACCTTATATTTGTCTCAAATTTATAGAGAAGATATGCATATCATCGTAAATTGCGTCAATAATATATATCAATCAAAAGATACAACTTACTGAAAAAAAAAGAGAATAGTAAAGAAACCAAGCAAACATCCATATAACACCGTAAAGAAAAAAATATTACATTTTAAAGCCAATATGTACTGCTCTTTTAGAGTAAGCTACCAAGACAAAAACATCTCCATTAAGGCTCTTTATAAATACAGCAGAAATTCAAATTACTAATATATACAACCATTATAACATTTGAAAGATGTATGATCTTAGAAAACCTACTAATATATACAACCATTATAACATTTGAAAGATGTATGATCTTAGAAAACCTACTCTAAAATTCATATAATTAAACCTAAGATTAGAAAACCTACTCTAAAATTCATATAATTAAACCTAAGAATAATTTACCAATATACAGACACACTATGGTACCTTTAAGGTAACGATAAGTACCATTTATAATAGAGCTGAGCAGTGGTTCTATGTTTGCAAAGGCTGCAATAAGAAAGTGGATAAAAGTGTTAATAATAAGTGTCCACATGATAAATATTATAGAATCGCCGATGATGTAGTACCAAGGTTAGGTGATATCCCTTCTTCATGAAATAAATATATCAAAATTAAATATTAACATTATAATCTAAAGCAAATTGGCAATGAAAAATATAATGTACTTAGTTCAGATCCTCATGAAAAATGACATAGGCAGAGCAGACGTAACATTATGACACAACATAAATTCTTATTGGATGCACAACAGAAAAATTCAGTACAGAGAAAAAGAGGTAGCTCCTCACATTATTTAAGTAATAAATTAAAAGCACAAAAAATTTTATATATATGAAATTAACATTTATTCTTATTAGAATAGAAAAAAACCAAAGTCTGTATTGTCAAAAGTTTGTGTTGAACATAATAAATATATTCAACTTCTTTGTGAATTTAGACGAGAAGACAAAAGATGAATGAGTCCAATGAGAGGTAACATGCTTCAGTCACATATCATAATCGATGTAGACGATGAAGACGCTACTCTAGAATTGCCTAGGAAAAAGATAAAGATGAAGAATGATTGATCTCGACTCAATAAAAAATAAAATAGAAGCAAGAAAAGATAATGCTTTATGAATTGTTATAGAATAGTTTTATTTTTTAGTAACATTAGGAATCATTAGAAGGGATTTTTATAAACTATTTTAGTGTTTTCATATGCATATGTGGATACTTTTATCATATAAAAGTATACTATAATTAGAAATAATCTTTACTTTATGATTTTTTTTCATTAACTTATTTCTGTCATTTTAGCCCGCTTTAAATCAATCATCTTAGCTCGTTGGGTTTATTATTCATCTTCCTTTTATAATATTATTTTTCCAAGTGTTTTTACTTTCATAACACTATACTTCCTCATGTCAAGCTCGGTTTCATGCCGATCCAAATGAAATTAAAATTTAAATTGACTTTAGATTATATTTATCTCCTAACAATTCAACTATCAACATAAAAATTTAAGTTAGGTATAGCCTATTCAAACAAACATCAAATAAGTAAATAATCAAAGTGTAATCGATGAATAAATTTTAGTAAGAAAATAAACCAAAAATACTAAATCAAAGTGAGCAAAAATTATCAAAGAGTAACCAAGGAACAAATTTTAGTAATAAAATAAACCAAAAATACCTAATCACGGTATTTAACCACGTGCATTGCACGTGCATAAAATCTAGTTTAAATAAATATGTCACTAATAAACATGTTTTATCTTAATTGCAGGTTAATGAATAAAAGCCCAAGAAGAACTCAATATCTAGTCTCTCAAAAAGCCCAAGAAGTCCAAGTCCATATACAAGAGAAGATCGGCCAAAGAACAAAATGACTAATTATCAATATTTGTATCGATAGCGATATCAATACTCATATCGATAGCGGTATCGATACAATTACCGATACCAAGTTTACTATTACGGATTGAAAGCTGAAATTGATTAACTTGGGAA